TCCATATCTGTCCATACACCGTGTATTTGAACGAAATCATTATTTAGTTAAACAGATTCTTCGTACGCCGCACAAAGATTCAATTTGCACATACAAACAGCAAGAGAAATCATATCATAGAACATTTGAATTTTTTGTGTATATCAAGGGAGGACTGCATTTGTTTGTCATTTTAGCAAACTTATGTGGGCAGCAAACCAGAGCATAACACATTCAGGTAAAACATATATTGCATGGATTGTCGATGATCTTAAGGTACTGTAGGTGACTCCACAGATGATGGCATTATATAAAGATATAGCAAATGATGCTTATCAGCAGTTTCACCATTAACTCCTTAATTATGTACCATGGCTTTTGAACTACCATATCCTTTTTTCTTTCTACTTCTCCTTCTACAGATACTGCCATTTTGAATCATTGCTCACACTTACAACAATATATCTTTGGGCTCATCCCTCACTGCAAAGGACAACAATAACTCTGTCTGGTGTTCACCATTTGGGGAATTCGCTTTCAGTGTCCAAAAGATTGGTAGTGATGGTGGCTTCATACGAGCCATCTGGTTTAACAAAATACCCGAAAAGACTATTGTCTGGTTAGCCAATGGCAACAATCTAGTGCAACAAGGATCCACAGTTGAACTCACTGCACATGGCCAGTTGCAACAGGCAAACAAAAAAGATTGCGGACTTTGGTGGTACTGGAGTTGCCTATGCAGCCATGCTTGACACATGAAATTTCGTTCTGGCCAATGGAAATTCAAACAATTTGAGGGAGAGAGTAGTTTTGATCAACCAACTGATACAATCCTACCAACAGAGACTCTAAAACTAAACAATGCACTCCACGCTAGCTACACGGCATCAAACTACTCACGAGGGAGGTTCCAGTTTGCACTACAATCTGATGGAGCACTCACGCTTTATACAACAAATTTCCCATTGGATACTCCTAATTATGTCTATTGGTCAACACACACTGGGTAATGGTTTTCAGGTCAACCAGTCTGGCTCTATTTACCTTACAGCCACAAACGGAAGCATACTTTATATTCATGTGGTACATTGTCTGTGTCAGAATCATTCATCACGTTCCATTTCCTACCAACTGGTTTTTTAATGTCATACACATGCATATGCTGCCGGTGTTCGAAAAATCGGCCTAGGCGGCCGCCTAGGGGCGGCCTGGGCCGGTCTGGCGTCCTGGGCGGATCCTTCACATCCAAGAGCTTTAGGCGGCACCGTGTGGTAAACTAAGCGAAGTAGATTTGGCTGGATCTGGTCCACGAGCTTGCGGCGACAGCACCAGGCGAAGAAGATGACCGAATGGAATAGGCTATAAATATATTTTTAAAAGTATAGCCGCACGGCTATCCCCTTTAAGTAGCACGGTCTTGATTTCTCTATTTTAATTACTTTATTTAATAGTTATGTTTTAATTATTATTTACTTAGTGGATAACTAGTAATTAAATATATTATTAAATTAAAAAATTAAAAAAATAATTATCGTTTATTAATTAATATAATTTATGAAGTTAATTAAAATATTATTTATTCACTAAAGAAAAAATAATTAAAACATATAATTACCGATGAAAGCAATTAACAATTTAACACTTCACGTTTAATAATATATTATATACATACATACCTATTTTTCAATAGTACATCCGTGTTTTGCACACGTCTTAAAGAGTTAGTAAAGTTCACATTTTTTAACAAGCAAACGTACAATACTCGTATCATATAGGTACATATGTATTTGTCATGTTTAATATACATGTTTTACAAAAATTTCAATAAGACATACAAAATTCACGTATTATACAAATATTCTCACATATTATTGAATAAAAATAATAATAAATAATATAGTGGTCGAACATTTAAGTTGTAATTTGCAAAAAATTTTGCCGAATAAAACACGTATGTATTTTATTCGTATTTTTTCCCATTCCATATTTTACTAACTATGAATGAATGTACAGCTGCGATGCTATACCAGGTTTTTATTTATTAAAAATCGTACAACAACGCAGCTATACCCGGTTTTTTTCTTATTTTTTTTTTTTTGTAAAAAAAATAGTATAGTCGCTCGACTATACTAGGATCTTTCCTAATTTTTTTTTTTTTTAAATTGTATCGCTGAGCGGCTATACTCATTCTTCCCTATTTTTTTTTTTTAAAAACATAGTATAGCTGACCAGCTTTACTGCTTTTGATGTGGCGGCTAGCTCTAAGCGGGTCCTTTTTTTAATTTATATAAATCGTATAGCCAAACGACTATACTCGGTTTTGTTTTGTTTTTTTAAATAATATAGCCTCCCGGCTATCCTTAGTTTTATTAATGTTTCTTTAAAAATAGTATAGCTGCCCGGCTCTCAACATTTTGACACATGGGCCTAATCCCTGGGCGGGTCCTCTTTTGATTTTTATAAATAGTATAGCCGGGCGGCTTTACTGGTTTTTCTTGTTTTAATTTTTTTTTAATAAATAGTGTAGGCGAACAACTATACTATATAGCTGGATCCTTTTTTGTCTTTTAAATTGTTTTCCCCAATTTTCGTTTATCAATAAGAGTAGTTTAGAGTATTATTCATTACTATTTGGCCATTATTCGAGTTTCTATTGTCCCCTTTTGATTTTTTACTTTTTCAGAGTTATTTCTCATATAAACAATTTAACACTTTCATGGTTAATAACGTATTGTACATGTACGTACGTATTTTTTATTAATACATTCGTGTTATGCACATGTCTTAAAGACTCGGTAAAGTTTATGTTTTTCAAAAAGCAAACGTTGTAATATCCCACATCAACCAACGGAGAGGGGGTGATGTGACTTATATGTACATGTCCACCTTCATTTAGCACGAGGCCTTTTGGGAGCTCATTGGCTTCAGAGTCATGAGAACTCCAAAGTTAAGCGAGTTTAGGCTAGAGCAATCCCAAGATGGGTGACCAACTAGGAAGTTGCTCGTGAGGTCCCAGAAACATAACCATGAGGGCAAGGGGCCCAAAGCAGACAATATCATGCCGTAACCGATCCAGGATGTTAAAAACGTACAATACTCATATTATACAGGTACGTACGTATTTTTCATGTTTAAAACACATATTTTTTACAAAAATTTATAAGACACAAAATTCACGTTTTATACACAAATTCTCACATATTATTCAATAAAAATAATATATATTAAAAAAAAATATATAGTGGCTGAACATTTAAGTTGTAATTTGCAAAAATCACTCAAGTCCTTCTTCTATATCTTGAATGTTTGCCTCCAAATCCTGGAGCCAAATTTGCACATTCTCAACTTGCATTGCGTAATCAGATTTCTTAGACTTGTGAGTATTCAATGCAGCATCCACCTTCTCAAGTTCATTTGTATCTGCAGTTTTCCTCACCCTCACAGGATACTCTTTTGGGCTGCACTAGCTTGGAAACTAATGACCAACTGCTTGACTTTGATTTCGAACCAGCTATGAAGGACAACAAGGATTCAAACACAGCAACAGTTACTGCATCTAACTCTTTCAACATGTTGATCACAGCTGGAGTTTCATGGTTTTTGTCGGTTCCCTAACTTTCCTTGACCTTGAAGGCCTTGTTCATTGCCTTGTTGACATCCTTTCTAGAGGCAAGATATTTTCTAACCTCACTCATGAAGCTCATGTCACCTCCTCGTCTTCTGCGCATAATGGATTGAAGTTCATGTGTGCACTCCTTTATTTGCAAAAGGGCATCCTTAATGATGCCACACACATCTAGGAGCCTCAAAGATATAGCATGAGTATCTTCAATTTGGTAACAATGTCATGGGATGAATTGCACAATCGACCATAAAATAAGCAGAACACGAGTGCTATTGTACCATCTCTCTCTCTCTCTCTCTCTCTCTCTCTCTCTATATATATATATATATATATTAATGAAAGGGAATAGCTAGCTCTTCTAGCCAGCATTCCAGCTCTGCCTGCCTCCCGTCCCCGGTGACGAGTTCTGTATCACTCTGCCCAGGAAATATTTAATTTATATTCATGTGGTACATTTTCTGTGTCAGAATCATTCATCACCTTCCATTTCCTGCCAACTAGTTTTTTAATATCATACACATGCATCGTCTGGGCGCCTGGGCTAGTCCTTCATTTCCGAGAGCTTTAGGCGGCACCATGTGGTAAACTAAGCGAAGAAGATTTGGCTGGATTTGCTCCACGAGCTTGCGGGGGCAGCACCAGGTGGTAAACGCGAAGAAGATGACCTAATGGAATACGCTGTACGCATCGTTTTGTTGGGTAGGAGTTATTAAGCTATACGTATCGTTTTGGTGGGTAGGAGTTATAAAGCTATACGTATCGTTTATGGGCCTAACAGACAAAAACCCTTTCGGTCTATACCCAAAAATTGCAATGTAATATTTTTTTTAACTAATTAGAGTATTACTATATGCTTTATGCTAAACTTTCTCCCCACGTTTTATATCAATTATGGTACTTTCTAATTTAGGCCACTAATTTATATATCATTTTATTTTGCATGATATTGTTATAAATTTATAATTATAATACAAAATGATTATAAATAATAAAGAAAAAGAAACGTCTAGGCCCCGATTACTCCTCCAGGCACTAGCATGTTCTTTTCCCCTCAATGAAATGCATGTTTCTTTATCATACAGCGCATTCCAGACAATAAGCTTGCTTGCATTAACAAGATACTCATCAGCACCATGAGTGTTTGGCCAGACAGACTTGATATGTAGGTTTGAGAGGTGTTATTGGTTTCCCTTTCGACGACAATGAGGGAGACGGTCCATTAGATGAGCTGAACTTAGCGATCATTCAGCAACTCAATTAGCTGGGCATTTAGATCTGTCACCCAAAATTCAATATACAAAGAAGGCAGAAGGTGAGAAATTATGGTGACAGACATTTCTTGTATCAAAGAAAGGCAATGCCACTCGCGCACTGCATAAATGTTAAAAGAAATGGGCGAGTTGGACAGTTGGAGGAGGTAGGGAACACGGCATGGGCATTGTTGAGGTAGGTTAAGAAATTCTTGGCAACCAGGAAGATGATGAAAGTGGCAATTCGCAAGGCCTTAGGAAATTTGAAGGGTGTTTCTCCCTTCAGTAAGGAGAGGCTGTGGCAATGGTTACCATGCTAAAAGAGGTGGAAGCAGTTACTCGGATTGTATTTCCCATCTCTCTCTACCTCCATCATCGTCTCTCCTTTTTCGCGCCTTTGGAATGATTTTGAATTCAATGCTGAAGAGAGCGTGATTGGCGGCACAAATCACAAAAATTTAGTCAAGCTGCTAGGATACCACCATGACATTCTTTTGGATGAAACTTTCAATGCCAAAGTTTAATGAGGATGGATTTAGTCCCACCAAATCCATCCCCATTATATGTTCTATCTAAGTGATCACAATTAGAACTGATTGTTACCAAATTTTGTTTTTTATGCATTTGATCATGATGGATTCAAAGCCAGCAACTAGATGTTATGACTTGGGTTTTCATTAGATTTTTAACGTGAACATTTCATTCTAGATGTTTGCTTAATGGTGGTGGTGACTGATTTCAGTTTTTCATATTGTGTCTTTTCTTCTTGCTGGATATTAAGATAATGGTTTCTATATGTTATTTTTCCATTGGATAAATTTGAGTTAGAAAGTCTATATTTGATTTAGGACATCTTGCAGCTTAATTGTTGTGTTGTGAATGCATACTTGTACGCCTCAGAAAGACAAAAGTTCCAAGATATGTCTTGTTCTTACTTCAGGCATCTTAAAGTATTAAAATACATCACAACACAAAATCTATGCTTATAGACCTCACACAAAATCCATTACTCACGAAGTTCATACTGTACATGAAAAAGTCTTAATGAGTGCAAGTGACAGATAAAAGCATTAAGCAGTAGGTATGGGAGGCGCCTAGGCATTCTTTATTTATTTTTATAATAATAATATTTTTTTTTTACAAATTATAAATTTATACCAAAATTAATATAAATAAATGTTATATATATATATATGTGTGTGTGTGAAAATCATATGATATATGCTTATAAAGCAGAGGGTTGAAATAAAACACAATTAATTAATGTATTTATATATGAGCCCAAGCCCTTAAGAGAACCTTGTTAAAATACCAGCCCATAAGTGAAACACGGCGTTTCACTAACACTGCTTCACCTTTTTTTCAACAAGCCCTATCCTCACTTATCTCTCATCTCTTCGTCTCTATCACCTCTGATCTCTCTCTACCTAAATCGTCTCTCCTCTTTCTCTGACGAGTGGATAAGAAGTCGTTGCTCCCACTGGTTGGGTCGAGAAGAGTAGAGAAGCAGCCACCCGACACACCCAGGCTCCCAGACCCGCCCAGGCCGCCTAGACCCGCCCAGGCCGCCTAGGTGCCGCCTAGACCAGCACAGGCAGCCTAGGCAGATTTTTCCATGTTCATAAACTGTTTTCCATGAAGTACTCCTCTAAACACTGGAGACATATGCTCCTTGCTCCCATGGAATTTGAACTAGCATATCCCTTATGAACAGGACGATACATCTTTCTGGGCCTCACCATCTGGAGTATTTGCTTTCGGTTTCTGCTCAATGATGCAGCAGGCAAACAGATATGGAGTGTTGATTGTGCTGCCACTGGAGTTTCCTATGCGGCCATGCTTGACACAGGAAATTTTGTGCTGGCTAACCCAAATTCAATCAATTCTTGGGAAACTATTTGCAGCTGCCGAAAGAATTATGAGGCAGAGATGGAGGATGAGATCAAATGATACTAGCTGATTGATCATATGATTGCTATAAGCAAAAGAAACTGCACATGCTATTGGAGAATGATGATGAGGCAAAGGATGACATGAAGAAGATGGAAATGTATTTGGTGCATTCAAGAGGATTATTTATCTCTCTAGGCTCATCCCTCGCTGCTGCTAATGCTAACTCTTTCTTACCCTCACTATCTGGGGAGTTTTGTTTCCACTTATCCTTGAATCATTTGATATTTTGAAGAACCAATAGCGACGAAGTTCATTGCACATGAAAGAGGCTAAGAGGCTAACAAGGGTAGAGACAGAAAGCTTTGAAAACAATGAAAAACATGTGTGGAATGATCCAAAACGACAAATATCCATATCTGTCCATACACCGTGTATTTGAACGAAATCATTATTTAGTTAAACAGATTCTTCGTACACCGAACAAAGATTCAATTTGCACATACAAATAGCAAGAGAAATCATATCATAGAAGTGGGCAGCAAACCAGAGCATAACACATTCAGGTAAAACATATAAACAGATGCTCAATGATATTGCAACAGGCAAACAAAAAAGGATTGCCGACTTTGGTGGTACTGGAGTTGCCTATGCAGCGCCATGCTTGACACAGGAAATTTCGTTCTGGCCAATGGAAATTCAAGCAATTTGAGGTAGAGTTTTGATCAACCAAGTGATACAATCCTACCAACACAGACTATAAAACTAAACAACACACTCCACACTAGCTACACGGCGTCACACTACTCACGAGGGAGGTTCCAGTTTGCACTACAATCTGATGGATCACTCTCGCTTTATACAACAAATTTCAAATTGGATACTCCTAATTATGTCTATTGGTTAACACACACTGAGGGTAGTGGTTTTCAGGTCATCTTCAACCAGTCTGGCTCTATTTACCTTACAGCCACAAACAGAAGCAATTTATATTCATGTGGTACCTTGTCTGTGTCAGAATCATTCATCACCTTCCATTTCCTACCAACTGGTTTTTTGATATCATACACATGCATATGCAGATAGTGTTCGAAAAATCGGCCTACGCGGTCGCCGCCCGGGCGGGCCCGCGCCGGTCCTTCATCTCTGAGAGCTTTAGGCGGCACCGTGTGGTAAACTAAGCGAAGAGGATTTGGCTGGATCTGCTCCACGAGCTTGCGGCGGCAGCACCAAGGCGAGGAAGATCACCTAATGGAATATGCTATAAATAGAAATTTAAAGGTATAGCCGAACGGCTATACGCTTTAAATAGAATATTTTCAAAGTATAGCCGCACGGCTATCTTCTTTAAATAGCACAATCTTAGTTTCTCTTTTTTAATGACTTTATTTAGTAGTTATGTTTTAATTATTATTTACTTAATCAATAACTAGTATTTAAATATATTATTAAATTAAAAAATTAAAAAAATAATTACCATTTATTAAATAATATAATTATCATGTTAATTAAAATATTTATTTATTCACTAAAGAAAAAAATAATTAAAACATATAATTACATATGAAAGCAATTAACAATTTAGCACTTTCACATTTAATAATGTATTATACATATACATACGTATTTTTGAATAATACATTCGTGTTATGCACACGTCTTAAAGAGTCAGTAAAGTTCACATTTTTAAAAAAGCAAATGTACAATACTCGTATTATATAGGTACATACGTACTTATCATGTTTAATAAACGTATTTTTTTTTTACAAAAATTTCAATAAAACACACAAAATTCATGTAGTATAGACATAATTCTAACATATTACTGAATAAAAATTATATATATTAAAAAGTAATATAGTGGTCAAACATTTACGTTGTAATTTGCAAAAAGTTTTGCCGAATAAAACACGTACGTATTTTATTCATATTTTGTTTATGTTCCTTATATTATTAACTATGAATGAATGTATAGCCGCAAGGCTATACAAGGATTTTAAAAAAAAATTGTACAGCCACGCGGCTATACTCGATTTCTTTCTTCTTTTTTTTTCAAAAATAGTATAGTCGCTCAACTATACTCGGATTTTTCCTTTTTTTATATATATATTTTATTTATTTATAAAATCTTATCGCCAATAGGCTATACTCATTCTTTCCTAATTTTTTTAAAACATACTATAACGGCTTTACTGTTTTTGACGTGGTGGCTAGCTCTAAGCGGGTCCTTTTTTAAATATATATAAATAGTATAGCCAATCGGCTATACCCGGTCTTGTATTTTTTTTTAAAATAGTATAGTCGCGCAACTATACTCGTTTTTGTTAATGTTTCTTTAAAAATAGTA